TGTGTGAAGCCAATATGACCCAGGACCCTTTTGCTAATATGCAAAGATGTGTGCACTCTGTGAGAGTGGTATGAGGTGCCGTTCACATTTGTGGAAAACATCACAGAGTGGCTGTAGAAGCTGCAGCCTTCACATTAGTCCATCTTGTCTTTATTGAAGCTGGGCTCTGGCTGTGAAGCAGACCTATATGCTCCTTTGTCCCTAACCCGAGCCTCCTCTCTCTCCCACCTTGCCCTTGCTGCCCAGTGAGGACCTGGGGGAGTTCATGGAGATGAAAGGTGCCAGCAGCCCTGGGATCCTCGTGCTGACCACCGGCCTCAGCAAGCCCTTCATGCGCCTGGACAAGTACCCCACGCTGCTGAAGGAGCTGGAGAGACACATGGAGGTGCAGCTTCCCCTGACCCGAGTCCTTGAGCCAGAGAATTGTGTCACCCTTGTCAGACCTTGAGAAACTTATTACAGAGCTTATCCAGAGTTTGGAACTTAGTGGCTTTCAGAATGATTTTGCTAACTAGCAAGTTTTTCTCCTTATCTGGCCCTATGAGAAAGTATCTGCCTCTTTACTTCTCCACGTGCTCATCTACCACTCAAAAGCCTCCAAATGCTGCAAAATGTAAACTGATTGTCAGATAGTATTGGGTGTCCTGTCAGCAACATTTAGCCATGAGCAATAGGTGCCTAAGTTGCAGAGCAATAATAGAAGAGTTATTTAAGGATTATTATGTCTATTGTAGTTTTGGATAACAGCTTGAAGGTTTGGTGGAAATTGTGGCCCTGGTTATTCTCTGGGTTTGGGTGGGTGTGTGGACCTTCATAACTGCTCAGTGAGAGGGCTGCAACCAGAGAGGCTGGTCATGCTCTCCCAGGTACAGCTTGGGATGCTGATCCCTTTGGGCTGTTCTGTTGCAAATTTATTTCCAGTTCATTGGCTCCATGATTGCTTTAAAGATCAGTAGCAGCTCTCCAATGCTAGAAGCTAAGGGCATGTAGAAGCCTAAGCAGTATTGAAAGGCTTTAGGCTATTCTTCAGAGCTGTTTAAAGAACTTTTCTTTGTGAAAGTTAATCTGTCTTTCTTTTATCCAAAGGATTATCATCCTGATAGGCAAGATATTCAAAAGTCTATGACTGCCTTCAAAAACCTTTCAGTAAGTGATTAAGCATATTACATTTTCCCTTTAGACATTATCTTGGCACATGTATGTAGAATTAATTGCCAACTGAGAAAGTCACACAATAAAAAACTGACTATGACCTGAGTTCAGAATTTACTGAGATGAAGTGTGTAGTAGCATTCCATGGCTGGTAAACTGTCTTGCTTTAGTGCACTTGAGACATCAGAGAGACAGAAGGGTCGTGATTTAAATTAAAAGGACACTGTACATGAATAGTTCAAAACTCATGGTTACACAGATGATCATGGTTAAACTGAGGTTTAAAAAAAAAGACCAATGTGGGAAGGAGACTTGTAGGGAGGAGGTGTGGAGTAATCTGGGTAGGAAGGAGACTAGAGAGGCTGTGGGGTTATGTTAATTGTGGTGCAATTTTATTCACATACGAAATTCTCATAGAAAAAATAAAGGTTGAAGAAAAGGGAAAAAAGGGCATAGCGTAATTCAAGCTATAGTCACTATAGTGGTTTAAAGGCCCGCCCCATCCAAGGGCTCTTGGGTAGTGCTACTCAGGAGACAGGCTGGTGAGTCCCTTCTCTAGTCACGTTGACCAGCTGTGCTTTTGTCATGCATGCCTGTGTGCAGCACTTAACTGTTTACACCCTTCTTCCTCTTCTCAGCCCTCCATGTTGGCAGGCACTAACAAAGCCAGAATGGTCTTGGAAACAAAACAAAACAAAACAGAGAAGGGTTTTCTTGCTTGCTATACACTGCTTGTTTCTAAACATGACAAAACCTGCTATAAAATTTGCGTTCCAGAGCACTTTGACATTCTGTTTTCCTTGACTTGATTTCATGCTTTCCAGCAAAATTTTAATTCCCTATGATTAAATACATTGCTCAGGAGGTATAGAGCAATAATTGTCTTGAGCAAGAGTAGTGTGGTCAAAGTGTAAAATTCTAGAAGCTTCTGTGTCTGTAAACAGTTGTGTTCTGTGTCCCACAGGCCCAATGTCAAGAAGTACGAAAAAGAAAAGAGCTCGAACTGCAGATCCTGACAGAGTCCATCTGGAGCTGGGAGGGAGATGACATTAAGACGCTGGGCAATGTCATTTACATGTCCCAGGTCATGATTCAGTGCGCAGGAAGCGAGGTACAGGGGCCCACCAGCATCATGATGGCTCTGTCCCACTCTAAAGTTTTGAATTGCAGCACCAGAGGAATGGCATGTGCTGACAGGGTGTATGTGAGTCTCATACTTG